TTGCCGATGTGCTCACTAAGGGTCTCCCAGTTACTCGCTTCCGCCTTCTTTGTTCCAAGATTGGGCTTGCTGACGCCGCCTCCATCTTGCGGGGGGCGTATTAGGGACAAGACTTTGTCCGTATAATGTTAGGATTTGTACTCATTATTCCTCTTGTAATTAGTCTCCTACCTACTCACACTTGTAAACTGTAATCTTATGGGTATAAATATACCCTTGCATTAATGATAATTCTCACAGTTGATAACCTTAAAAAACAAACCCCTGAAAAAGCTAGAAATTTTTTTCGAAATAACACCTCCACTACAAACACTCCAAAAGCTCCATAAAAATGGATTTAAGGCACAATGAAACCCCCAAATACAAAGCTCCACTATAAATACTTATTACAATTTTATTATCCCATAGACACGTTCACAAAATTATTCAGGATAAAAAGAATTATTCAAGCCTTCAAGGCCACCCTTGTAATTTGGCGAGACAAAATTCGAGTTAAGTGATTGGATTTAAGTGTCGAGAGAATTAAATCGTTAACGAAAGACGAAGTTGACTCTTAACCCAATAATTAATAACGTGATTAACCAGCATCCTTACCAGGAAAAAAGCTAAGCAAACCCACGTGAAATCATTGAATAAAGTTGGGTAGTTTTCGGAAATAGGTGGGTGCAGGGCGTCGCGGTCATCAATTGTTTTTTAGCTGCTTCCCTGCCTCAATCGAACTCATTATTACGTTAATCATTACAAATATGATTTAGTTATTTGTTCTACCATCCCCACGTACAAATATTTATTGCTCCAACGCAGAGATGCTCAAGTAGTGTACTAGATTAGATTAGATTACACAATGTTTGTTTGAGACTTCAAGGCAGAAATTAATTCAACTATGGCAACGAGTTGAAGTTCTGGTAGTTGCAATGACATGTACGATATTTCTAACAACCAGTCCTTGCAACTAAACTATAAACAGAACAAACAAAAACAATATGTTGAACTATTGATTTAAGATTGTCAATCCAGTTGGTCCGATCGAGTAAGTGAGTTCTGTGTTAGTAATTGAATCAATTTAGTCCTATTTTCATCCAAATACATAGAAAAAGTCATTAATATCAAATGTATTGTATTGTGCATAAATACAAGTTATTTCAGTTTCAACAATCTTGCAAAGAGTGCTCGTTCTTCAAAACGTTCCAGGAGGGTCCAAAGATAATTATAATTTATGAGATTATGAGATATGAGCACAATCCAATTCATGATGTAGTGGTGAACTTGTCGACTTGAGAAAATGATGCCCTTGATATAATCCTCACCAATAACCTCACTTAATCTCCATTTTGCATAATTCTCAATCAGCTCGGTCAAATTGATCGATTTATTTGTGTTGCTTTACTGGATTTGATCGAGTTCAATCCGACCTCACCTAACGGGTTTCTGTCGCCTAGTTGTAACATTCGTTTCGGGACAAAACCGGTTCGATCGGCGACGGGTTGACGTTGCAGGTTGACAATCATAATTATATGATAATTTCATATCACTCATGATATACATACAAGAATAGTACTTTTAAGCTAATGATGATGTTTTTTTTTATCATTAGGAGGGAACCAAACCAGATAGAATTTGTAACAGAAAGAGTCCAATGCTGTATGACAGCGGAGCCATGATCAGCACACTTTTGAATCCACGTTGTCGATGACTTGATTGTTTTGGGGAGCATTGGCGACCATTTCATTAGAACGTCTACTTCCAACTTGGAAGGAGACACCATTACTTGTATGTTTTTATCGGTGTGGACTCTATATGTTGGATTTTAGACTAGATTGAGAAGGCATATAATTCGAAAAGTGAATTCTAGTAAAAAATTTCATCTTTATTTAAATGGCAGTGACAAGTGACAACCGTATGAAAAATAGGAACAAAAATTGGCAGGTCATGGAAGGTTTCTGGATATCTATAGTCGCTTTGTGGCATATATCGAATTCTACTCGGGTAATTTATTAAGAGACGGGTATTAAGACAGGTTGACTAATATACGTATGTATTTTAATGAAAAATATTAGAATTATTTATTTTTTTTCTTCGTTAAATTTTTTAGAAACAAACTATAACATGATAATTGTTGTTAAAATTATTCGAGAACTTCAGATTCTTGCTTAATTACAACTTTATTATAGCTAGAATATGAGATATTAAAAGTAAAATCTCAAATAATTTAAATAAAAATTTATTTAATTTGACAAAAATAATTGATGATAGGGCATATCAGAGCACGCTAAGTTTAGAAGAATACTTAGGGATGACAACGGGATTGAGTCGAGGGCGGATAGTGCATATCCGTTATTCTACTCAAAGTAGTTTGGTTTTACCCATACTCATACCCACATTAGAAACGTGTAAAAAATCAAAATCATGTCCATACTTATTCGGATTTCGGGTATTCACTTTTATTCATGGGTTATATGTAATTATTTCTCGTTATAAATCCAACCAATATGTTAACATTCACACTTATACTCACATTATATAAGAGGAAAAATACGACAATAAATCACTAGGATGAAGAAAATTAATTAAAATTACACAAATTCATGAAAATATTATAATTGTATGCTAAATATAAAATATATAAAGGAAAAGTAACTATTGTTTCCACACAAAATACATATGCATGTGTATAATCGGGCGGGTTTGGATTGAATAGTAAGAAAACCATACTCACCAATTACTCGCAAAATTCAGATCCAGATTTTATCCATATCCACTAAAATTTTTTTGAGTTCGAGTTTTACTCTACCCGATTAACTCGGATCCACAAAAATATCTACGATTACGGATATTTTTGTCAATCTAACGATAATATATCACTCCGATCCACCGATATAGTAAGTATTACCTACCAATCAAAATGGGTCGGGTCTAAATTGTGGTAAGTAATGAAAAGTGCTCGAGTACGATAGATATAAAGAGAAGAGAGGTATAAGGAGAGGAGGACAATTGCCTTAAATTTTCTACCCACGTAAGGTTAAGGTTGTACCGTAGTAGTTGTTTGACGGTGGACCAGTCAGTCTCTGGAATTAGCTTCGTGGCTATCTAGCTATTTACCTTTTTCTTTCTCTCCCGAGTGTAATCACCTAGTCTCTCGAGTCTCATGTTGTCGTTTCCCCGGATCAAAAGTGGTTCTTGTATTGTCCAAATGAGACAAAAGGTCATGGCACTGGTTCGTTTGACCTGAAAAAAGCTAACTTTTTTTTTACTTGGGGGGAAAAACCATCTCAAAAAGTTGGTTACATTTCTTTTAATATTATTTTGTTCTCGTGATTAGGTTTAAGAATAAACATAACAAAGTCAATTGTGCTTTTATGTGGTATGGTCTATATAGGTCTCTAATCTATACGAATGTTCCCCAAAATAGGTAATGTAACTGATAACAATAATTAAAAATACTTGAGTAAAAAGAATAACACACTTAATATGACAACGGGTCACGCATTTTTCTAAAAATGGAATTTCGATCTTCGTAGAACTTCTATTTGTTTGTTACTCCATGTTATTAGATAAAACGATGCAAGTAACATGCCGATCTCTATATTATTTCAATTTTATCGGATGATCTTAAGAAGAGAATATGTCACTAACTTACTAATATGATAAACACAATGAATAAAAAGTTCCCCCTTTCAACATATCATAATTTAACTTGTAAAACTATGAAAATAGCTCCAAAAGCCTACTATTGGAGGTCGTTTGCTTGAGTCATTAGTATCAAAGTCTCAAATAACTCTATCGATCCATTTCCAAATGCCTCCTATTCATGAGTCATTCAAATGACTCGTTATTTAGTCCAAACTTTTCAATTATGTATTTGCCACTTTTCATAAATCCACTTCTATTATTCCTTTCTATCATGGGTTAATACCTTAGTTTGGCCCGAACTATACAATACTTTCTACTTTGGCCCGTGGTATTGGAAATTGCTATTATAGCCTGAACTGTGTAGCAAACTTCCTCATTTGGCCCGGAGGCGGGTTTGACCGTTAAATTAGACGGTCAAACTTGTTGACCGTTAGTCAATGTCCACTTCACCTGCCACGTCAGCTTTGAGGACATAAAAAATATACTTCTTTTATTTCTGAGTTTTGTTTTCTTGTCATTTGCTAAAAATTGGCCTTTTTTCGTTCTTTTAATTAATTTTTTTGATTTATTATTTTTATTAATCGAAAGAAAATAAAATTCAGAAATAAAAAAAAATTATGTCCTCAAAGCTGACGTGGCAGGTGAGGTGGACATTGACTAACGGTCAACAGGTTTGACCGTCTAATTTGACGGTCAAACCCGCCTCCGGGCCAAATGAGGAAGTTTGCTACATAGTTCAGGCCAGAATAGCAATTTTCAATACCACGGGCCAAAGTAGAAAGTATGTGTATAGTTCAGGCCAAACTAAGGTATTAACCCTTCTATCATTTATTTCCTCTATCCTCTATTATTCCAACCTCTCACAAGTTATCTACTCAACGAAGCATCTTTTCCATTAAAAAAATATCAGCTATTTGTAGGGCATTCGAATGGTTCTTTGTAATTAGTATAAATTTGAAATTTTTGGAGCCGTTATTTTGTTGGTCCTAAAATAATTTTGTGTTACATGGTTGATTTTATTAAAATAGCGAACAAAATAATGAATCATATTAAATGTTAGAGACAAAATTAATATTTGAACAAAAATACTCATACAAACTACCAACCAATTTGTCTCTTATAAAATATTTCTCATTTCATTCATAGAAATCAAGAGGGTAATTTAGTCAAATCAACCAACATTCTCATAAATAAATAATCTGAAAACCCCAAATAATATCTACAGGGTGGCTGGAGTGGACCCTGTGGCCAGTGATAGCCTGTAAACCCAGAAAGGTGCTCTCTTTCTCTCTCTCTCTCTCTCTCTCTCTCTCTCTGGTTTTCCTTTTGGCAGAGTGAGTGATGAATTTATAGCCAAAAACATTTACACAGCCAGCCACACAGCTGCAGAGCAGCAGCCTGGTTTACCAGAAGTGGAATAAAGAAAAGAAAGCAGCAAAAAATTAACACAACGAGACAAATCACCCAAATGCTCTGTTTTCTGCTTGCTTTTCTTCCTTCCTAGTTCCTCCTCTTCCCCCCTTCCATCTCCTTTACACAATAACATCTTCCTTTCTTCATAACCATTATTCTCATTCTTTTCTTCCTCCATTTCCTTTCTCCAAAACCCACCTGAAACTCTCGTCTTTCACCTTATTGATTCAGAGTTTCTCTCTCTTTTCTTGCTTTCCCCTGTTTTCGATGATCCGCCATGGCCTCCTCAGCGTCAATTTGCTGCTGAAATCCTGCTGCTTGCTAACTTAAATCTCAGACCCTTTCCCTGCTGAGAAGAATATTATCCTCACTGTTCTCTTCGCCTCCAATTTCTCCTCTCGATCTCGAATTTTCCCACTTCCAGCAAAATGAATCACTTGATCCTACTACTGCTCATGATCCCCCTCCCATGGCTTCTCAAAACCCAATCCCTCTCTACCCTTCCCAACCCATCACAACCCATGAACTGTACGGACACAACCCGCCTCTGCACTTCTTTCCTGGCCTTCAAACCATCCCAAAAGGCCCAAGCTTTACCACTCGTCCAGAGCATGTTCGACGTTTTGCCTCGAGACATAACCGTGGAAGGTGGGTCCAGCGACTACGTGTTCGTGAAGAAGAACTGCTCTTGCTTGTCCGACGACAGAGTCTACGCCACCAGCACGACGTACACGGTGAAATCCGACGATGGCTTGGTTCACGACATTGTGTTGGGCGCCTACGACGGGCTGGCTCTGGTACCCAACACCACAAGGAGCGCTAGGGCTGGAGCTGTGGTGTCGGTGAGGCTGTTTTGCGGGTGTTCCAGTGGGTTGTGGAATTACTTGATGAGCTATGTGATGGAGGAAGGTGATTCAATTGAATCTTTGTCTAGTAGGTTTGGTGTTAGCATGGCGAGTATTGAAGGTGTTAATGGAATCAACAGCCCTGAAAATATCACGGTTGGTGCTGTCTACTATGTCCCTCTCAACTCAGGTTAGTGTTCGAGTTCAATTCAGGTGCTGGATTTTTGCCTCTGTGAATAGATTTTGCATTGCAGTAGAGCTGAATTTGGGAAGACCATATGCTTCTCAAATTAGTGCTGGCATTGTTGTGTTTTCGGGGGAATCTTGTTTTTTGCATGAATTCATGGATCTAGTATCTAGTCACTGGTTTCAAATCCCCAAAAGCTATTGTCTATTATCTTTGAGAGATCACTGAAGATCATGAGAGGGCCATTGCATGTGCACAATCATCGGTTTTGGGTAAGCTTTAATGAGCTGTCAGCAGAGAGCAGTGAAAACAACAGCTAATGAAGTGGATAATTAAATGTCCAAATTGCCTTTTATTAAACTATACAGAAATGGTAATCAAACCCCTTTTGCTGATATCCCTTTTCATACTGATCTTGTTCCTTGACCTATGTTCCTTCAATTGGATATAGGCATAGTGGATTTCAATTTTTCGTCATCATAGTTTAGACAGATCATGTTGATTGTTGTCTTGTACTTTGTGTTTGTGATGTCTTCTAAGCAAGTCAAATTTTCTGGTTTTAGTTCCCGGTGAGCCTTATCCTGTGGAGAGCGTTGTTCCTCCTGCGTCTGCTCCTTCGTCTTCTGCTGTCAACTCGTCTGCTTCAGGTACAGGTTTTGGTATTCCTGGATTGGCTAAGCACTATGAACTACTATAATCCTGAAGGTCCTATAATCATAATGACTTGTTGCCTTGTGCGTGTTTTCAGACAGTCCAGGGAAACAGAAGGGTCATGTATCATATGCTTGGATCATATTGGGTCTGGGGATAGCCCTCGTTGCAATCGTGTTACTGATAGTGATTTTTGCCTGCTTCAAGTGTTCGAGCTGCTGTTCTAAAGATCAAGAGAGCCATCATGCCACAGACTCTGGTGCTGGAAAGGTGGTTTCTCACAAGTTTCAAATTCTAAGGAAGCCGAGTTTCTGCTGTGGTTCAGCTCGATACACAGGAGGAGGTGGTGCTGCCAACTCGGAAGAGTGGAAGCAAGCTAACGGCGAGTCTAGTAGCCATCATCACATCACCATACCTAGAGGTCTTGAGAAAAAAAGATCTCAATTCTGTGTTCTTTTGTTGTCTGGACAACTGCAAAGTTCTTATAATCCGGCTCTTTATGATGCTTTTCTTACAGGTTTGGCAACTGATGTATTCGACATGGAGAAGCCGGTGGTGTTCACATATGAAGAGATTCACTTTGCAACAGATGGATTCGCCGATTCGAGTCTCATTGGACATGGAACTTATGGTTCAGTTTATCATGGCAACATTCCAGACCAGGAAGTGGCTATCAAGAGAATGACTGCAACAAAAACCAAGGAATTTTTGGCAGAGATGAAAGTTCTCTGCAAAGTCCACCATGCAAACCTGGTACTTAACCTTTGACCTTGCTTTGTGGTTTTCTAACTGCTTTTGCATTGATTAGAAAGCTTTTGACGCCATTTATCTTATTTCACGTTGTCAAGGTAGAACTGATCGGATATGCAGCTACCAATGAAGAGCTCTTCCTTGTTTATGAATATGCGGAAAAGGGTTCTCTCAGAACCCATTTGCATGATCCTCACAAGGGTAATTAAAGACAAAGACCTCGTGGATGCTCTGTTGATGACAAGCTCTTAATCATGCTAAGTAACTTTAATTGGCTCACAGGTCATACGATGCTTTCTTGGATCATGAGACTCCAGATCGCACTGGATGCAGCTAGGGGCCTCGAGTATATCCACGAGCATACAAAAACACACTATGTTCATCGTGATATCAAGTCCAGCAACATCCTACTTGATGGTTCCTTTAGGGCCAAGGTTCTTGAACATTATCGGCTATTATTATAATTCCTCTGTTCTTGAACATTATAGGCTATTATTACAACAAATTTACTTTGTGATCAGATTTCAGATTTCGGATTGGCCAAACTCGTTGGAAAAGCAGGCGAAGGTGAAGCCACAGTAACCAAAGTTGTAGGGACCTACGGTTACCTGGCTCCCGAGTAAGTTTTAACGAATCCTCCCTCAACTGTGTCACTTCTACATGCGTTGTTATCTCAGGATGCAGCTTCTGTTAACCCGCTTGTTTTCTCGAAGGTACTTGAGTGATGGTCGTGCCACTGCCAAGAGCGACGTCTATGCATTTGGCGTCGTCCTTTTCGAGCTCATTTCTGGCAAGGAGGCTGTCATACGAAGCGATGGTGCTGCATCAAAAAACCCTGATCGACGCTCTCTGGCATCGACGATGCTTGCAGCGCTACGAAGTTCACCCGATTCCATGACCATGGCGAGCTTGAAGGATCATATTGATCCGAACATGATGGATTTGTATCCCCATGATTGTTTATTCAATGCAGCCATGCTGGCTAAACATTGTGTCGATGAAGATCCCATGCTAAGGCCGGACATGAAGCAGGTAGTGATCTCCTTATCGCAGATTCTCTTGTCATCCATTGAATGGGAAGCCACTCTTGCTGGAAACAGTCAAGTTTTCAGTGGCCTTGTCCAGGGAAGATAGAGTTAGATAAAGTCAAAAGGACCTATTTCTGCAGTCCCACTTTCACTTAATTTTATGTGCATAATATGTACCGGTTGAGGCCTCCTTTTGTAGAACAGAGAAAGCATAATTGAGTTGGTTACAGAGTTTGAGTTATGTCTAGGGCTGGAAGAAGATTCAGCTCACGGTGGACCTAATTTTTCGTGTTGATTACAGAGTTCTATGAGCAAGTTTAGAACTGGACAATGACTCACTCCGACTCCATACAGGAGCTAAGCAAAACTACAAAGATCAAATCGCGAGCCGAATGGATTGTAACTAGATCCTGTTTTCCAATCTCCAACAGCATGTTAAAACTTACAAGTGTCCTAAAGAGATTAGAGATCATAAGAAAAAGAAGCAACTTTATTTGTTCACTGTAGTCTGTATAAGCATCTTCTCCAGACATTACGGAGAGAGTACACGATCGCCATTACTTGACGAGGGAAGCTAGAACTCGTCGAGGCGGGATGAAAGATTTCCGGGCATGAAGAACAGCCCAGTTATCAATCAGAAGAACATCGCCTTTCTTCCAAGGAATTGCAACACTTTCTTGTTCCAAAATGTTCAAACAATCATGGATGATATCGCCGGGCAATGGTGTCCCATCACCGAAGGTTACAGCCTTCTTCGGGTCATTCCTTTCATCTTCCCAACCCGTGTACGCAGCCACCATGCTGTTGAACCATATCTTCCGATTCGCCCTCGACTCGTCCGTCTTCACTGCCGGAATCGGTCCCATTATCGTCTTCACTCCATCTTCCAACCATTCCAGCTTCATTCCTAGCTTCGCTGCCCTGTTCAGAGAATCAAACCCAAACAAACAAAATAATAAAAAAGATGTTTCCTTTGAGACGGAAAAGCATTTCTCCGCCGCTGGGTTTACTGATCACGAACCTTTCCTCTGCGACGGCCTTGTTTTCTGTCAAGAACGTGGATTTCCAGCCACGGCCGATTGGGGAATTAGGGTTGTCTTTCTCGCCCAGCACTCTGTTGTAGATCAACCCCTGTTTCTCCAATTGCCGGACGAATTCCGGGTACTTCTCTCTCATCTTCTCGTACACCACGTGGCTGAGAACGATCGGAGTCTCACCGCCCGTTTTAGGCTCCACTTCGCAGAAGAAGAACAGCTTTGACGGGAACTCAGGCACCTGCACACAAAAAAAAAAAAAAAAAAAAGGAGTAATCAACGGGAAAGAAAAAAAAAAACAGAGGATTGAAAACAAACATCCAATTTTGTTTTTGAACTTCGGGCTGACCTGGGCCATCTCGTGGTGAAAAGGGATTTTCTGGTCAGGAGGGGACTCATTGGCAGTGAATACGCGGCCGACGACGTTGGTCCGGGGAGCGGCGCCGCCGACGTAAGGGAGCTCCTGGAAGCCGAACGATTCGACGACGCCGTTAAAATCGGAAGCAGAGAAGACAGGGAATCCCCTGAAGAGTATCGCCCCCGATTTGAGGAGGAGGGATTCGAGGAAGGGCTTCTCGGATTTCACGGCGGAAGTGAGGAGATCGAGTGATGATGATGGAGGAGAATTTGGAGTCAGGACGGCGGGGAAAGGAACTGAATCGTATATTTTCTGCTGCGGGAGCTGGAACTCCTTGAATAGCGTCATCGCCATCTGCTGTGTGTGTCGGGTGTTTCTCTCGGATGGGGGCGGGAAGAATAGAGGCTTGTGGTGGGCAGTGAGTAGTGAGTAATTATAAACCGGCGATCGAAGCTCTGTGTCTGCAGCGGTGTGAACTGTTATCCTTCACGGTGGCGGCAAGTCTTGAGATAGGTGAATGTGGTGTGAAACAGCGTCCAAGTTCAGTCTCGTGCTAGTCTGGAGTTTCGGACTCTGGACCCAAGGCCCACGGGACTGGGGTTTCCGTTTTAGTAAAATATTGCGCTATCCCACTTTTCCTTTTCTGAATGAATGATCAAAATAATTAGGGTACAATAAATTACCCACAACTATTATGAAGCGGTAAATTATAACCATAATTATGAAAATACAAATTATTAATCATAATTATTGTTGTGCGTAAATGAACGGCTAACAGTTCGTTACCGTTATTAACTTTGTAACGGAAAAGGCCACGTCAGCAGTCACATCACCTTCCACGTCAGATTAATTTTTATTTATAATTTTCAAACATTAAAAACAAACAAACAATGGAGGGTCAACACCTCTTCATCTTCTTCTTCCCCAGCCACATCCCGGCCTTCTTCCCTCCTCCGCCTCGTTGCTCCTTCTTCCCTCCAATTGAATCCCTCCCGCCTCAATCCCTCACCAGTCGTTCCCTACCGCATTCGTCGTTGCCAGCCCTTCCTCGTCGCCTTCAATTCCTTCTCGCAGCCGCATCCTCGTTCCATTCCTGCCAGGTCTTCTTCGATTCCAATTGTCATCGCCGCCGTCCCCTACTTCTCGTCCTTCGACCAGACGTTGCCTTCGTCCACTGCTGGTCTTCTCGACGCATGCTCCTCTTCCCATATCGCAGTCTATGTCTGTTTAATCGGCATGGCAGAGGGTGGATGGCGGCTACGGGAAGGGTGGATGGTGGCAAAGGGTTTTCTAGGGAAGAAGGTAGGGAGGAGGTAAAGCGTTGGCGGATCTGGTGACTGACCACAGAGGGCAGAAGGTCGGTCTTTTTTCTTCTTTTTTTTAATTAAAATTAAAAAGATGGTATGATGACTGACCACATGGGAGCCAGCTCAGTATTGTAAAGCTTAGTCAGCATTACTAACGAAATTGTTAACAGAAAGTTAACGTTTGGCTAATAATTTGTATTTCGATAGTTGTGGCTATAATTTCCTGCTTGGGTGGATTACCAGGAAGCTAGAACAAGGCCATTTTGTAACTGCCTGAATAGAAGTGGTTTGTTGGATATGGGTTTTACGGGACCCCGTCCTACTTGGAAGCGAGGCAATCTTCTTCAAAGGATTGAATGGGCGCTTTGTAATAAAAGTTGGTTGCACAAATTCCCGGAGACTTTGAACTTCCACTTTGAGAGAATTGGATCTGATCATCGCCCCTTACTAGTGCGGTCTGCACCTCAAATGGGTTCGAAGAGGGATCGTCCTTTCAGATTTCAAGCGACTTGGCTGGGGCATGAGGATTTTGCCAGGGTGATGGAGGGAGTCGTGGAGCCCAGCGTCACTACTGCCGGTTTCACTTACGTGCCTCACGGAAGCTCTGAGGGTGTGGAACAAACATGCCTTTGGTAATATTTTTCGCAGGAAGAAGGCTTTAATATCTAAGTTGCGTAAGCTGGAAATGGACAACGAGCTTCATAGCACTGATCGACCGGTTTCTCTAGAAGACTCCACCCAGAAAGAGCTGGAGCGAACTCTCTCGGTGGAACACTTGCTATGGGTTCAGAAATCGAGGACTAGCTGGGTGAATGAAGGTGACCGGAACACCCGATTCTTCCATCTATCTACCCTGAAGAGGCCGAGATTCAATAGGATCGCTAGGGGTGTTCAAATCGTTACCAAAGTTATAACCAAACCAAATAAGGCTGAATTCCATTAACCATGGAATACAATATCATACTTAACCGTCCAAACTAATACAACAACCAAATTAACCAAACTAAAGTTTAATCGGTTTGGTTAATTGGTTAACCAGATTAACCAATATAAAATCACATTATCATTGACGATGAAAATTTCCGGTTAATGCAACAATTCACAATTTATATAATGAATAAAACATAACAACCAACACGTAATTATAGTTGACTCTTAATAAAAATACATGCAACTAAGACAATTATCTTACGATTAGTATAGAAGTATTCACCTAACAAAAATTTATGACAATGGTATGGGTTAATGAATTGTTGTGTTTGTGTAAAATGACTTAGTATCTTAGCAATTATCATAGGCCGGAAATAACCTTCCTTTCAAGTTTTTATCCATCATAATGTATGAAATTTATCTAAATTAGGCGTCCATATGTTGTGGTCTACATTTTACATATACAAATATACACTATATGAGCAATATTGAGCTTTATATTTTATGAGTCTAAAATGGATGAACGTTAACTCTTGAGTGATTATGCAAAGTATTAAGTATGTGTATATAATATATGTTAGATATATGAGTAATTACTTAACTGGTTAATTTGGTTTGACTGGTTAGGAGTTTCTGAAACCAAACCAAACCACCTAAACCAAACAAGCTAAAAACTTTAACCAAACCAAACCAATTATCCAAATTAACAAAATCAAAATATCCAAATAGTACCGGTTAAAACGGTTACCATGGTAACCAAACCGTTTGAACACCCCTAAGGATCGCGGCCTTCGATCAGAGGATGGAACGTAGGTTCAGGATGAGTCTCTTATGCAGGACATGGCTCGAATTTTCTATGTCGACCTCTACACCGCCGAGGAGGGCCCTGCTCCCTGGATCTCAGCGCTGTTTGCCAAACTCGAGGAGACAGCGGCGAGATCTCTGGAGCACGGGTTCACGTTGGAGGAAGTGAGGTAGGCGGTGATGAGTATGGGGAGTCTGAAAGCTCTGGGGAAAGATGGGCATTAGCCTGTGTTCTTTCAGAAATGTTGGTCTACGGTTTGTGAGGCTCTTTTCCGGTTTGTGGTGGATTGCTTTGTGAATCCAACGCAGATTGGGTTCATCAATGAGACTCTGTTGGTGTTGATCCCGAAGAAAGAGAGCCCAGAGTACATTGCCCATTTTTGGCCGATCGGTTTGTGCAATGTGGTGTATAAAACCTTGGCCAAATGCATAGTCAACAGAATCAAACCTCATATGAGGCGCCTGGTGCATCCTACTCAAACTTCCTTTGTCCCGGGGCCGCACATAACTGATAATATTATTATTGTGCAGGAGGTGGTTCATTCCATGGGTCTTAAGAAGGGGGAAGAAGGGCCAAATGTTACTAAAGATAGACCTAGCTAAAGCTTATGATAGACTAAGCTGGCAATTTCTACACGAGACTCTTGTGGCTGCAGGTATTCCAACTCATCTGACGAGCGTCATCATGGCTTGTGTGTCGTCTTCGTCCATGTAGATTATGTGGAATGGCGGAGAAACTGAGGGTTTTACTCCCTCGAGAGGCCTAAGGCAGGGCTGCCCCCTGTCGCCGTATCTATTTACTCTTTGCATGGAGAGATTGAGTCATATTATCCAGGAGGCGGTGAAAAAAGGAGCTTGGAAAACGATTAAGCCCTCCCGGGGTGCCCCATCCCCATCTCATTTCTTCTTTGTTGACGATCTCATTCTGTTTACAGAGGCAAGTGAGGAACAAGGGGTGGTTATTACGAACTGCCTTGACCGGTTCTGTCAAGCTTCAGGCGAGCTAGTCAGTAAGGACAAGTCTGTGATTTTCTTCTCGAGTAACACGGACCGCAGAGTGAGTGCTGAGGTAGCTTGTAGGCTAGAGATTCCCATGACTCAGGACCTGGGGCGGTACCTGGGAGTCCCGGTTCTCCATGGACGGGTGACAAAAGTGATATACAGATACATTCTTGACCGACTCGATAAAAAGCTTGCAGGCTGGAAGGCCAATTCCCTCTCGTTGGCTGGGTGAGTTACACTCCAACCTTGGCATGATGGCCCTGTCTACGTACGCCATGCAAACCTCTTATTTACCTATCTCGATCTGCGATGAAATTGACAGGAAGATCAGGATTTTTGTATGGGGCTCGACGATGGATGCCAGGAAGATCCATCTGGTGCACTAGGAGGGTGTTTGCAGGGCAAATGAGGATGGAGGATTGGGGTTACGGAAGCACATGAGCTGAATCTTGCCTTTTTGTCCAAGCTTGCATGGCTCTTCATAAAAATCCTAATGAGTTGTGGGTGCAGGTTTTACAGGCAAAGTACTTCAAATCAGTGAATAAAAGCATGGTGGCAAAGTCCATGGCACGAGCCTCACCTCTTTGGCGTGGAATTCTTCATGCATGGCCGATCATGGCGGCAGGGATGGGAATGACGATCAGGGATGGACGCAACACAAGCTTCTGGGTGGACCGCAGGGTGGGAGATGGAGAGCTGCTACTGGATCGGGTTTTACCGAACGCACCAAGTTTTGATCCATCGCAACTAGTGGCTAGCTTCGTCGATGCGAGTGGTAAGTGCGATGTTGAGGAGATTTCTATATTCTTACCAGAGAATGCTATTTTGCAGGTTATCGGCGTGCAGCCCCTCATCGCCAACTCAAGAGAAGATGTCCCGATTTGGTTTATAGAGCAAGATGGTCGCTTTCGGGTTCGCTCAGCGTATAGCATCACGACCAACATTGATGACCTGAATCCGGAGCTAGACTGGCGGGTCATCTGGCAATGGAAGGGCCCAGCACGGATTAGGAATTTCCTCTGGCTAGCCACACGGGAGCGCTTGCTCACCAATGGAGAAAGAGCCATCGACATCTCACTCAGTACACTGCTTGCCAGCTTTGCAAGAACGACCCTGAAATAGTCCTGCATGTGTTGCAGGACTGTAGCTTTTCCAGGTTAATATGGATGTAGCTAATCCCGCCTTCTGAATGCCAACAATTTTTCGGAACAGGTTTGCAGGATTGGATTCTCAGCAACCTAAATAATTAACACCGCGCTCTGGAGTTTGGTATTACCTGCTGGTCTCTGTGGAGGACCAGAAATGATCAAGTCTTTGCAGGCCAAATCATCACCCCTGAAGCCTTCCTACACCGAGTCCGGGCTTGGATACCTATAGTGAGGACTTCCCTGGACAAGGACAGGCTAATCCATAAGCCGAGTCCGCCTGCTAGAAAGGAGGAGATGATCTCGTGGAAGTCACCTCCTCCTTAGTGGGTTTGCCTCAACTCTGACGGCTCCGTTATTCATGATACAGGTTGTGCCGCTGCTGGCGGTCTGATTCGAGATCACAATGGGTGCTGTCTAACAGTGTTCGCTTTGAA